TTCCTCCTTCTGCCAATCTCCGGTCTCCGGTCTCTGGTCTCCGGTCTCTGGTCTCCGGTCTCTGGTCTCTGGTCTCTGGTCTCACGTCTCTGGTCTCCAGTCTCCGGTCTCTGGTGTTTGGTCTCTGGTCTCTGGTCTCCGGTCTCTGGTCTCTGGTCTCCGGTCTCTGGTCTCTGGTGTTTGTCCCTGGCATCAGTGGCTCTCCTCAGGACAAACATCCTGGGTTGTGTGCACAGAGGAGGCCTCTGTCTGCTTGGTCTGTGTCTCCAGGTCTGACTTCCAGGTGTGATGCACCTGCTCAGACAGGTTGAATTGTTCCACCTTGTGTTCACAAACTGTGACACTGTGAACCACAATAATGTCAACACATCAGAGTTAAACCATGTGTCTCTCAGGGTGTAATCACTGACACTCTTTTTACTCTGCAGGGAAACAGATGCCTCCAGCAGTTTGTGCTGTGAGATAGAACACGCCTGCCCCCTGGTGTAAAGTGCTGGCTCAGTGTTTCAGTGAGTACACACTGTTCATAAAGAACCTGCTGCTTCCAGTTTGACTTATTAAACGTATCACTGCTGCCATTTCAACCGACTTAGACTTGATGCAAGTTATTTTTTTTTATGTCTATGATGATTTCTATGAGTTGCTGTTCAGGTAAACTCATGTCTGTTGCAAAGTTGAATCATCAACATCTACAGTATGTCTGAGGTTTAGCACCCGCCTACCTCACCCCACACTCCCAGTAGTGAGTGAGCAGCTTTGTAAAGGACCGTGTTAGAATCTGTCAGCACAGAGGGGCTCAACACGTCAAACATGGAGGGAACAGAGAGGCTGGTGCTCCACAGATTTTTAATAGTAATAATCTTTATTATTACAATTAGGAGTAAAGAAATAAAACACTTCAAGGGACAGTAAAAACAGGAAAAGTGCACTCTCACACCCGATGGTTTAAATCATTTTTTTCTCTGATGTTTTTTGTAAAGTTTCATGGGGAAACCTTTTGTGTATTGATTGTTTATTTCCTTGTGCTGCTGTTATGAATATTTAAATGGCTTTTCCTTGTCCCATTGGTTGTTATGTTATTTAGATTTAAAGATGATTACATATGACATATCATTCACATTATTTATTTGAATGGAAGAATTCAGATATTAGCAACTGACCCCAAACCAGGGGACAGTAAAATTTCACTTACTTAACTTAAATAAATGTTTTGTCTCAATAAGTCTAGTATTCTGAATATGCATTGGTTAACAATAATATAATAGCATTATTTATTTATACAAAAATATTAGAGAATTATTTATCTAATAATATTTATCAAAGAACAGTTATTGGGGTTTTGCACAGAACATAGAAACTACCTTGAGACAAAGTAGGCAAAATGTATCTTTTTTTCATTGTAATAATAAACAGATCAGGCAAATATATTATAAGACCATGAGAGGCTATAACAAAATCCTTCTCAAAATAACTTCTTTGTATTTTATGTTTAAATGAACAATTATTGTTGCATTTGTTTTGCTATAGGACAAAATCAGCTGCATATTTTGTCTATTTTGAACTAAAACATTGAAACACACTGTTGTGTGGTCTGTTGTGATTTGGCTGCTCAGCTTGGAGACAGCTACAACAACTTGTTCCAACCGTCTTCATCCTGTCAGCCATGACAGAACATCATGAGCTAGACACGCTGACACATGCTAATCATGTCATTAGACGTCAACACAACAAAGATTCAAACCAAGAAAGTCTTGATTAATTCAAACTAAAAAGCTCAGGACAGTTTGACAAAAATACAGCTTGTGAAAAACATGTGCAGTGTGAGTGTCATCACTCATGCATGTTTCTGATTGGAGGAATAAGACAATCTTCCCTATCCTCCACACCAGGTAGAAAGTCAGTTTCTGGCCAGTTATCAGTCCAGGTTTCTCTTTCTTTCACACTTCCTTCGGCCTCAGTGACAAGCTCCGCCCCCCTCTGCTCCCTCCACACCCTCTTGTGCTCCTCCTTCAGCCTGGTGTAGGTGTGGTAGAAGGTGTGGTAGATCGATGTGGAAGGGTACGACAGAATGAGGATCCCTGACAAGATGCTGATCAGCGCCACTAGCTGGCCGGGGATGCTGCGCGGCACCATGTCACCGTACCCCACTGTCGTCACGGAGATGATGGACCACCAGTAAGATGCTGGGATGCTGCTGAAGCTGAACCGGGGGGATCTGGCAGCATTGGGGGCCAGCTCGCTCTCAGCAAGATGGACCAGCGGGGAGAAGAGAGTTACAGCGATGCACATGAAGAGCAGCAGCAGCCCGAAGTCCGTCATACTGCGCTGGATGGTCAGCCCCAGAGTCTGCAGACCCAGAGAGTGACGCGCCAGCCTCATCACATACAGGATGCGCAGGGCCCTCATCACACGTAGGATTAGACCCAGTTTATCCAGAGTACTCCTTCCTGCTACAGCCACGACGTCCTGCACAGACTTACCCCTGAGCTCCAGAAACAGAGAGACGTAGTAGGGCAAGATGGCAACTGCGTCGATGATGTTGAGTGGACCACAGGCAAAATCCAGCTTACTTTGTGCATGGAAAAACCGCACCAGAAACTCAAAGGAGAACCAGACCACACAAACTGACTCCACCACAAACATGTTGCGACACTTCTGGGAGCATTCACCCTGTGGAGACAACAAAAGGCTTTCAGCTTGGAGACTAGAAAGTCCACAGTCATCCTAACAAATGATGGAATGTGTTTTGTACGTACCGCCGCCTCTTCCTGTTCCTGTTCCCTCTTCCTGTGGTCTGACATGGTGCTGATGCACAGGCTGACCACAGTGACCACCACCATGATGACGGACAGGAGGGCAAACACTTTCCCTGCTAACCCAGAGTGAGGATTCTCCACCGCCTCGCCCAGCATGTGGAACAGGCCGCCCCCCGTAACAGGAGCCCTCAGCACCTTCCTCCTCTCCTGCCACTTCTCCTCTTTGCGCTGGTGCTCGGCCACCTCCTCCACAGACGACATCATGCGGTGGCGGCAGCAGCGCTCCATCTGCCCCGTGTCAATGCCCCAGTACAGCAGCTCACCATGCAGAGCCACGTTGCAGACCTCCTGCAGCAGACGCAGCTTCCCTTTTGCCAAATAGCTGAAGATGGCTCGAAAGGCTAAAGGGTCACGGTCAAAGAAGAATTCACGTCGCGTCTCATCATAGTCATCACAAACCTCTGCAATCTCCTTTAAGGTGGTGCAGAAGCACAGGCGACTCAGACGGCTCTGAGGGAAATCCTCCAGGGTGGTCCAGGGGAAGGCGTACCGGACGCCACCCACATTGATGAGAACCTGTCGGGAAGCATTGAGGGGCAGACCCACGGTGTCTGGCCCTTGGAGCTGCTGAGCCCGCTGGAAGTACACACCTTTGACTGTGGTGGTCTCTGAGTCTGTGAAGACGTGGTCATAACTGTCCTCACTACTGAAGGACTGGTCATCAAGGCTGCCACCAAGGATGGCCATGGTGGATATCTGACAGCAGGGAGGGTCTGCAGTTACATTAGTGTGTCCTGTTGGAGATTTGAAGGACAATCTGTTAATATGGAAAATACTCTCATCTCATAAAGGTTCTGGATGAGTGTTTTAAGTTCCTAATTTTTAACTTAAAGCCGCACTAATTATTCTTTATGCGTCAGCGCCGGCGGCAGCCAGAAATGGAGGCATATTGTTTTCGGGTTGGCTGTCCGTCTCATTCTCATTGACACAATATCTCAGTAACGCCTTGGTGGAAAGTTTGGCACAAACATTCATTTGGACTCAAGGACGAACTGATTAGATTTTGGTGGTCAAAGGTCAAAACTCAAGGTCGCAGTGACCTCAAAAAAACACTTTTAAGCCATTAGCAATTATGACAAAATTTCACACAAATGGTTCATATTTTCTCTGACTCTGGATAAACAGGGATGTAATCTGAAACTAGCCTGAGTGGAGGAGGCAGACAACCACAGGGAGATGATTCTAGTTATTATAAGCAATGGACCAAACCCACAGTCTTACAGAGATTTCTCAACCACAGCTTTATGGAGCTTAACAACCGACTTACATTCAATTGTTTCGATTTCCAGCAGCAAGAGGCAACTGTTTTCAGAGAGCAGCTGGTGAACATAGCGGAACGTTTGGCAGCTAAAGAGCCAGATATTTCCCTCTGGAGCTGGTGGAGCGCAAACGCAGTCTGCTGAAACTATTTGCTGCCACATAAGCCTTAACAACTTTATCAGGTCGTAATATGTGAGATGTGTTTTCAGCTCGTTTAGCGTGTACAAGTGGCCAAAAATAATAAAAACAGGTTTAAAGTTGATTTGATTTGATTTGATTTTCACTATTTGAATGTCCACAAAGTTCTTGATGAGAAAAACAATAATAATTCATATAACATTATAACATATATTATTCATGTTCACTAAAGTTGTATGACTCACCTTAAATTGAAGTTGTGGTTTACAAATCCATTCAAATACCAAATAAAATCCCGCTGCTGCAGAGAAACAACAACATATCAATCGTTTTTCTTAATAGTAGCAATCTCATTTGTTGTTACATCTGAAGAACTGTGAAGTTGAATGAAAGAGGAAGTCAGAGAGAGAGAGAACAAAACCCTCCCAGATGATCCGTGTGTTCATCCTCTGCTCCTCCTCTGTGAACTCCTGTGTCAGGGTGACTAATGGACGACCCTGCAGTCAGTCTGAACATCATCAGGACACTTTGTGTCTGAAACATCGTCCATTAACTCTGTCACACACTGAGCTTCTGGCTTTAAAGGAATCAAAAGGCTGACAGATAGTGTCAAATGACTGAGTCATCCACAGAGTGAAGGATTAATGAGATTAATATCACGAGGATAAAGAGACAAGGACAGAGAACATAACAGACATTACACTGATAGTAGACAGACCGGAAATACATTGTATTCAGTTTGGGTTTTATTTGTTTATGCTGTGAAAATATCTGTGATAATAACTTTATTTACAAATGACTTTGTACATTCATTTAGTATTTACATTTACATTTACATTGACTCATTTGTCAGATCCAAAGCGACTTACAAATGAGGGACATCAGTAAGATTCAGTGCAGTAGGAACCTTAGTGTAAATATTAAGTACTACATTGATTTAATAAGCAAGGAGAGTGTGTTAAAGAAGTGCACCAAAAGTGCATAGTAAGTGCCAGTTAGACATGTTAGGGTTTTAGGAAAGGAGGTGCTCTCTGAAGAGATGAGTTTTCAACAGATTCTCGTAGATAGAGAGGAACATCCTGCTCTGATTGCATATAGCTTGTTCCACCATCAGGGAACCACAGACCTGAACAGTCTGGACTGAGACTGTCTTGAGTGCAGGGATGTTGATGCCTGACGACATTCCTTGGAGGACAACAGTGACGAGAAGGAGCATAAGGTTTCCAGTGGATGGAGCAGACCCAGAAGTCTCTCTGAAGGCAGCTTTAGTGAGTTTTTTTTTTTTTTGGGCCTTTATTGACAGTGCAGTAGAGAGAGACAGGAAATGGGGAGGCAGAGAGACAGGGAATGACACGCAGCAAAGGGCTGTCCAATGCGGGACTCGAACCGGGGCCAACTGCAGCGAGGACTGTAGCCTCTGCACGGATGCTCAACCAACTGAGCTACTCGACAGAGAGGAGTGTCCCAGTACCGATCCTCGGAGCCTTGCTATGACACACTGAAAGACTCACCCAGTGAGATAGGATTCGAACCACGAAAGGGCTTGGCCCGAGATGCACATGTTGCACATACAACAGGGCGGTTTCAGTTGAGTGGCAGCTCTAAAAGCCCAACTGATTTGGATCAAGGAGGTTGTTCCATGATAAGAATTCTGAGACCTGCAGAATGTTTCATTCATGTCTGCCGTTATATTTTCAGGGTTGGTGTGGCCTGTGGTGGTGGGGCGCAGTGTGATATCCGCCGCCCCTGGATAAAACCAGGTTCTGTTGTCCTGTGGTCCAGATTCACGAGAACCACCTGAGAGCTAAAAAAAAGAGAAAACAACAGGAAAAGAATGAAGTTTGTATTTTTACTCTGTTCACATGTTCTGCTTCTACAACACAGCACATTCTGCTCATATCATGGGAAAGAACCATGAGACAAAATACGTTTATGACTGTGCCTCATTCTACTCACTGATTTACTGGCTGTCACTGCTTCACTTCAGCACCTGATCCTCTCTTATGCAAATAACAAAACTCCACTGATACTCTATGGTCACACTGATCATGTGATAAGTGGAGCATTTGTCTGAACTCAGATCTTTTAATTTAGTAAATGTACCAATACAAACCTGTAAAAATGATAATCTGCAAGTCAAAAAACTATGAAAGTCCTACCTACGTAAAACTACAAAATTATTATCAGTTTCATGTGTAAAGTCTGCAGTAAAATGGCCCCTGTGGATTATTGAATGGGTCCAGGGCCCAAATTGTGGCTTCAACACATACAAAACCACAACAAAGAGATTCAACACACCCATAACGAGATGCAGAACAACCACAAAGGGGAACAAAACAACCACAAACAGGTGGACCACAGTCTCAAAGAGATGCAAAAAAAACAAGAGTAGATGCAAAATGTCCACAAAGACGCACAAATCACCAGAAGGACACAAAAAATGACCACAAATAGACTCAGATCACAGCTGCATTCAGGGAGGGTGGGAAGGGATTTTACATGTCATGCTGTCAGTGCTCTGGTCAATAATTAATGTCATAAATGACTGTTTATCTTTTCAGTTGTCTCTGGAGACACCAACACCTTATCTCTTATCTTATCTGTAAAGTCTCAGTGGAGATTTCCTGGAGGCCTTTCCCACTCTCTAGGAACTTAGACCAGCAGCAGGACTGTATCCAGGATGCTGGCAGGTCAGTGTGAACCTCACAGTGCAGCAGCTGTTGTACTTTATTGCGTCAGTGTTCCATGTTGAATGGGCTCTGGACCAAGTCATGGACTTTACTGTTCTTTAATGATTTTATTTTACCAAATCGACTGTGTGATGGTGGAAGGTCAAGAGGAAAACTAAATGTAGGGCAGGTGTGTTGAAAATCTGACTTGTTACTGTTCTCATTTTCTGTTTGGGTCATTAACTGTGTCATTAATGAGAGTTATCAATGTGAAATGTTTCACTTCACTGGTTTTAATAATAAAACTGAGTGAAGCTATTTCAGCCAACCAAGGCTGAACTATCTGCAAAGACAACTGCCTCAAACACCCAGAGCCTCAGGGGCCCTGGAGGTCCCAGGTTCACTGTGCACCTATTATTTTGTGGTAAAAAAGGATAGGAAATGAAATAATGGCTGCTCCTGTATTGCTGTTAGCCATGCCAATAGCACGACTTCAGGGATGTTGGTCCGTTCACAGCTTTGGACCAAACATCTACAACTATGATCAGTGGCCCTGGCAGGTTTATATTTCACAGTACGCACAAGAGCCACCTGTCTGGTTGTAGACTACCTTTAGGTTTCGCACACACACATATATGTCTACTCATCGAACAAATGAGTGAGCAAGAGAAAGAGAGAGAGAGAGATTGATTTATGTTTTTTAGGCTAAAGTTATGACACAACGCCACCATAAAACTCTGAATAGCCTTACAACATGCATTTCAAAGACCGATCAACTGGCCTGAAAAACAACAACAGCAGCTAAATAACAGGCTACAGTATACTGTTATATACTGTATTGAATATCCCAAAGAATTATGCAATAAAAGTCGGAGTTAAGAAATGGATTCCCTCATCTAGCATCATCATCATCATAAGAACAGTTGTCTAACTACTGAAGATAATAATAACAATACGCCACAGTACAAACAATAAACAATCAAAAAGCCAAAACCAAACTCTTGCAGAACGGCCTCCACATCAATTCCAACATCATGATGGATGTTCATCAGCGCTCCACATCTGCAGTGTCAACACTGGGCATCAAAGCACCAAACTCCTCCTTTACCTCCTGCTCTCCTCTTCAATCTAGACTCATTACGTTAGTGAGTGGATGCAGCCAAAAAAATAAGACAGGATCTCCTGGTTGCACAATTTTATTTTCAAGATAGGATGTTAAAATAATAATAATAATTTTTTTCAAACGTAGTGAAGTGGGTACAGGATTACAGCTGTTGGCACCACTGACTATGACATGGATTTCTACAGAATTTGGTCCAAACGTTTTGTCTGTAGGTGACGAATCTTTATCTCTAGCGTCACCAGCTAGTCAAACTTTTCAGTTATGCTGAAATATGAATATGAAATATCATGTCATTACATTTGGTAGAAATATTCATGATGACCAGTGGATGAATCCTAATGACATTGATCATCTTCACTCTTCTAGTTTCATCATCAGTTCAAAATAATTGGTCCAGACGCAATGAAATCTCCATCAACTTCAGCTGCACGTTGTCTTTAGTGCCAATTATCAAATGTTACTATGCTAACATGCTAAAGTAAGATGGTGAGGGCGGTAAACATCATCTCAGCCATACATCAGCATGTTAGCAACATGAATATGTTACCATGTTGACGTTAACATTTAGCTCAAACCACCACTGTGTCTCATAGAGCAGCTAGCATTGAGCGGTCCAACAAATTGAAATAATAAAATCAATGTTTAAAGTACCAGATTTTAAAAGTTAAAAATGTTAAGAAGATAATTGAGATGTTTACAGCGCCACATGTGGCCTGACAGAGATCTAGGACTCGATTTTAAAAGGTTTAATCCGAGTAAACCAGCAGCAACAACAGACAACAGCAGTGTCTAAAAATCAACTATCGGCGGCTGCTTCGTCTTCAGGATACTGGTTTTCCTGGGACACGCTCCCAGCCCAGGTTGGAGTACTCAAGCCAAGCGGAGCTTGTCTCGGTGGAACTTTTGCACTTTCTTTAAAATGGCTGATTCCCCCACAAAGAAAACACCTGATAGAAAAGCAAAGACTTCTGTTGACTGTGTGATTACACATGATCCAGATCTTCATCAAAACTTAACGTTTCTCAGTGTGTAGGCTGCGGCTTGGAGGTTGTTGGTGTTTCCCACACTGAAGGGGATTTTTGGTTCCCAATGGCAGGCTTACACCCACAGCCTACATCCAGTGAGTCACACTAGGGTTCAGGGGTTTTCGGGGGCCTTACCTGCTGCCCCACCACTCACTGCAGACATAATCATCATCTCATCACGTCCCAGCATCCATCTTGCTCTAGCTTCCTCCGCATGGCTGAAGCTCTGGTCCGTCCCCACTCACTCAGTGTGAAGACCCACATCACCTGGACACACTCTTTTCTCACGTACTGTATCAATAAACGGCTCCATGTGACTGAATTGGGAGATTCTGTAACTTTCCACAGTTAGAGCAGATCCAGGAACTTTCCACTACAGGGAGAGAGGACAATGTTCAGTCGTCCAGTAGCATAGACACTTCCAGCTGACTGAAAGTGAGTTGCACAACTTTGAGTTCAGTTCAAGTCTTTGCACATGTGTTCCATATGTGTGTTTAATCTCTCCATTGCACTGGTTTCTCATTCCAGTCCTGCAACAGGAGCAGCTGCCCTGAAGACAAATCTAAAGACAGAGAGTCTGTGCAAAGAAAGACAATTTATTTAGATCTAGATTAATATTTAGATGAATGAATGAATTTAACACAGACCAGAGTATGGTTTAAACGATAAAATACAGTTCACCATAACCTTTATTTGTAAATGTTAATAAAGTGGTTTGTTTACCTTTGATATATTTGAGTTAATAAGAGTTCATAGGAAATTATCACAAACAAATAACAACACACAGACTTTTTACTTTGTTAGTTTTTAACTTTGAAGACAAATGCTGTTATAAATAATATTTGGAAATATTTCAAATGAATAGGTTTGGATGTGGAGCTGCATCTTTAAGAAAAAAAAAAGTAATAATAAAAAATAATTGTTGAATTGCATTGGATGATAATCTTTACTAAAAATAAACAGAAATCAAATCATAGAATGAAATAAACCTTTTGGCAAAGAAGAGTCAAAGAGGTCAAAGAAGAAAGATCCTGTCGGCAGATACTGCAGATGTTCCTGGTTGCTGAACATCATTGGGAATTTCCATGACATCAGGAGAGTCTGACCGTCTGTGTATAAATACACACATTACTGTAAATGCGCAGTAAACTGCAGAGACTAAACACGGCTCAGATATGGCATCAACCATAGAGAGACATTTGAATGGTAAGTGTTGTGGGAGGTGTAAAATTATACTGGATATGTAAATGTGGGCTATTTTTAAAATGTTTAAAGATACATGTATCACTGGTAGTGGAAAATTGATGCACGTTTGAGAGCTATGTCAGAGAAGTCCACAGCAGGAAGTTTATTAAAGGGGTCAAATAATCAGAAAAGATGTTTATTACATTATTATATATTCATGCATAAGAGTCTTTAGAGGAATATTGGTGATGTGAGATATGATTTATTTTATCATTCAAACATCAGCCAATATCTGTTGTACCCCATTTGAATTTTATATCAAATAGCTAAAGGTAAGATCATTTTACTTACACTGATTATTTTATTAAAAGTTAACTGATTGTGCTTTGCATTAAAATACATAACTGATTTACATATTTATGTCATAGACAACATCTGTTGTATCAGTCCCAATAAATACAGAATCACTGCTGAATGAACAGATTAAGGACTCAGCTCAGCGCAGCTTCTACATGATGAAGAAGACTCTGATCCGGATCACTAAAACTGGTGGAGTGACACTCGCCTGTACGACAACTTGGATCAAAGTCAAGAGACAGGCGGCAGCTTGTTTTGAGGGGTGACAGAGTTCAGTCATAACTGCGGTTTGGACGAGTGCCGTGACTAATATGACCCTTGACCCTTGATACATCTTCATATTAAGTTTGTGAGGGAGACAATAGGACTCTAATAAGACATATCAAACTCACATTATATGTGTTTTATAAACTTTATGTTATAAAAAGAAGATGTTGGTTTATCTGTTTAATCTACATGTGGAATGTTGTGATACATGAAGTCAGCAGACTCAGAACAGAAAAGGCTGCACTGGATGTGAAGTGTCTTCACTTCATTTATGGATTTAATGGCAAACAAAAAAAGCAAAAATGGTTGTGATTGGTGAAAATGGAAATGACCAGCAGGAGTTAATGAGTAGACATCAGATTTACTGTTGTCGCACTGCACAGAAGAAACCAACAGATACCACTCTGATAGCCAGTTTAATTCAATTAAATTACATTTAACGGTTGATTGAATTTAATTAAAGTTTTGATTTAATTTGATATCATTAATTTTGGTTTGATTTATTTAATTAATTCAATTTAATTTGATGTGCTCTGAGAGACACGCGGGTGCACATAAGTTTTGATTGTGGTGGTGTTTTTTTCCCATTGCAGGGGTGAATTCCTGTGAAAGCAGGAGCCATGTGGCAGATCCATTGCCTCAAGTGAAACGTTCTCCAAGTGTCAAAGAAGATTTTGTTCTGAACAGCCCGGCTGTGGACGTACAGCCAGCAGAGAGCTTTGTCCACCGAGCCCTGGAGCTGATTATGGATGACGCAGTGAAAAAGGCCTCTGATGTCAGAGAAAAGGTAAAAAGTGTCAAATCTGTCTCAGTGAAATGTGGATTTCTAACCAATAAAATTCAGCCATGATTATTAGGGCTTGTGCTGCTGCAGCTGACTGACAGTAAGCTGTTTGTCCACGCTGACCAGGTCTGTGAGTGGCGTTCCCCCGGGCAGCTGAAGGAACTGTTGGACCTGGAGCTGAGAGACAGTGGAGAGTCTGAGTCCAAGATCCTGCAGCGCTGCAGAGACGCCATCAGATACAGCGTCAAGACGGGTACATCTAACACTAACCCTCTCTAATCATCTAATCAGGTGGTCTAATTGAGATAGAGATCAGTCATTCACAAGCCTAAAATTTCATCTCCTGCAATGAAACACAGGACACAGTGTTAAACTGTGTGAACTGTTTTAAAGTAGCAGCGTGAGACCAGAGTGGAAAAACAGTCAGTCATGATGGTTGACTTGTGAATGTTCTTGCTGTTGAGAAAAATATGTTTTATTCTGGTATAAGAAAATCTTTTCCATCTTCAGGAGACGAAGGATTGGCTGCAGGGAATACTCAGATCATTTTAATGTTACCATTCTAACCGGATGTTAAAACCTGAAGCGAGGAATGTGTTGGCTTTACTTTTGTTGTGTCGTTGTGTTGCTGTGTTAGAGTAGCTGATGCACTAACAGGCATCTGTTCCGCATCATCTCTGTAGTTCATCCTCGTTTCTACAACCAGCTGTATGCTGGGCTGGAGCCCTGCTCCATGGTGGCGAGCTTCATCACTTGAAGCAGTCAAAACCAGTCTGTGAGTCTTAGAGCACATGTTACCACTGTCAGTCAGAGGCTGTTAGAACTGAGTCTGAAAACACGACACATATCTGGTTTCCCTCAGTACAACCTGGGGCTGCATGTGGACGTGAGTTCACGCATTCATTCATTCATTCATTCATTCATTCATTCATAAAAATCATATTTTTCTATCAGTACAAACACTGTTTTCTCTCTTCGTCTCCTCAGGCCTGTTGGGGAGGAGCAGCTGTGATGTCTGACAAACATAAACACCTGTTAAAAGGCCTCCACAGGTAAATGTCAGCGTTATAGAAAAATATACTCTGTAAATAAAATCATTATTATTATTATTATTATTATTATTATTATTATTATTGTGAGACCAGGTTTTTGGAGAAGAGGCTGGACAGTAGCAATCTTAAAATAATCAGGGACACAACCAGAAGATGAAGTGAAGTGAAGTGTTGACGACTGAGGGCAGGGATGAGGCTACAGTATCTAGAACCTCTAGTAATTATTATGTCTGTTACTATGTCTTGTGGTCTTGATGATGGTGTCATATGTGAGATTCAGCTTCAGTTAATTATTGGATATGATTTCTTTAAAAACATACAGAGTGTAGTTGATGACGCAATGAATTTTCAGTCTTCCAATGTTGTCTATCTCATCTATGAAAAAGGTGAAAAACCTTTCACAGTCTCCTGTGTGCTGTAGTTTAAATAAAGCAAATAAAAAGCAGCACCAGAAGGCAGCATTAATAGCAGTAAGATGTTTTAAGAAAGTGATCTCATGTATGTCGTAGTTCAGTGTGACCTGTGATCGTTGACTGTTTACTGACAGTAGACTGTGTCTCTGCTGTGTTTCCTGTGGCTGATAAGAGCTGACTCTGTGGCCTGGAACCCTCACAAGATGTTGATGGCGTGTCTGCAGTGCTCTGCTTTTTGCTGGTCAGAGACAAAACGGTGAGGCGACCTCACTCTGTCTGACTAACCAGGATATGTGTCAGCTCTGTACTCTACACTATATCCTGTATTCACCCTGGTCACTTCGCTTCCTCAGAGTCTCCTCCAGCGCTGCCATTCTGCTCGGGCCTCCTACCTCTTCCAGTTCTATGATGTCAGCTACGACACGGGAGACAAGTCTGTCCAGTGCAGCAGGAAGCCCGACGCCTTCAAGTTCTGGCTCATGTGGAAGGCTCTGGGAACCAGAGAGCTGGAACAGAGGGTGGACTGAGCCCTCGCCATGGCCAGGTTAGTCTGAGGAAACACACACTCTGTGTTTTACACTGTATTTACAGTTTAGTTACAGGGTGTGAGGGCTGGACTTTAAATTAAATCTGTTGTTCACCTGTTTTTCAAGGCGATTACAAAGTAAATGCTGGTTATATGGGCTGTAATTACTTATTATTATTATTATTATTATTATTATTATTATTATTTGATTATTATTATATGCTAGCTGCTATTATTCTAATAATAATAAAATAATGTATAAATGTATGTAATGTAAAATATAAATAAAATAAAATACAAATAAACTGAAAAAATACAACCATCTCAATGTTAGTAGATGTCAATAGTAAGTGGAATATATAGCATGTGTAATTGATGAGAAGTTAGGAGCTTCTGAAATGACCTGCATAAAACTGGCTCATGTTAGCCAGCTGCTAACATCTGGTAAAGTCTTGGCTAAATGTGGCTAAAACACAAGTTAAAGCTTATGGGCTAATGGTAATTTTAACTTGTGAGGTACAGCGTTTTGGTCCCCACAAGTATAGTGGGCTCCAAGTTTTTGGACCGTTAGCCTCATGTGTACTGAATGCTACGATCCATACATTTATCCACGGCAGAGAATGATTACACTCATTAGCATGGTACCCTGTAGCAACAGTGCAGCTAGCATCCTCAGTTTATTACTTCACTATCTAAACTTACAGTGTCATTTATTTATGGGTGAGTTATATCTGAAATCTCTGACCCAAACTAAGAGACTAATAATGTAGTCTAGTAGTGTACTTCTGAATAATAAGGATACATCAACCTTAGCCAGAGTGTTTGCTAAACTCTAGTGTGATTGTCATGGTTTGCTATGGCAGATACTTTTTGTTAGTTTTGTTTGGACTTTTCTCACTTCCTGTTTTATTTTGTAATTCGTTTCCTTGTGTTTCTCAGTGTTTTTGCTTCCTGTCTTGGTCCTGTTTCTGTGTGGTGATTGTCTGCCCCGCCCTAATGTGTTTCACCTGTGTGCAATCACCCTTGCCTCCCTTGTCTATATAGTCTTTGTGCTCCCCTTTGTCTGGGTCGGTTCGTCTGTTGTTCTCTGGGTTTTCCTCGATCTGTTCATGTCTGTTTAATCATCAATCTGTTCACGTGGCCTGTTCATGTCTGGTATGTCCCCGAGCTGTCCATGTCTGGTCTGTCCTTAGGCTGTTCATGTCTGGTTTGTTTTCAGTCTGTTCATGTTACCTGTTCATGTCTCCTGTTGTCATCCCCTGTGGTTCCCTGTGCTTGTGTATAAGTTCCTTTGTTAGTTTAATAAACCTGTCTGCACCGTGTCCCATGTGTTGGCTGCATTTGGGTCCAGCCTTACCCCTCAAACCCTGACAGTACGAAAATAAAACAGGAAGTGAGAAAAGTCCAAACAAAACTAACAAAAAGTGTCTGCCATAGCAAACCATGACAGTGATATTCTAAAGCTAAATGTGCTGTCTGCAGGTTTCTGGCACAAGAGATCAAGAAAAGAGACGGTTTCCAGCTCTTGATGGAAGTAAGTTTATAAAAATTCAGCCACAGTTTTACACACAACCAGTGAATTTCACAGTCAGATAACATCATTTCACTGCTCATCAGTCAATTCTTCACAAGCATTCCAGTGAAGATTATGATATAGATATCATGCATGGATTAGATGCCATTTTTTGAACTCCGTGTTTCTCTATACAGCCTGAATATACAAATGTTTGCTTCTGGTATATTCCACCAAGTCTGAGGAAGCTCCCAGTCAGCCCTGAGCTCTGGAGGAAACTCCACAATGTAAGTAATTCATTTTCTACCTCATAAGACATGAAGAAAATATTTTGAATTGTATTTTTTGGTTTACATGTATTTTTCTTGAAGTATTTGACATGTCCACTCTGATAGACAGCATGCGTTTAACTTTCAATTTTATTCATATGCAATAACAGTGTAATAAATAGAATAATGTATTTCGTGAAAACTGTGAACATTAAATGTTAAATATTACTGTAAAACAAGGACACTTTTTCTCTGTATGGTTTAGCCCTCACTATTGTTTTGTAAAAATAACCAAAATGAATTTCCCTAAAAAAAATAAATAAATACGCAGTCCTACAGCTGCAATTATTAATCCATTAATCAGAGAGCTGGTCAAAGGATTATTCAGCAACTATCTGATAATCGATCAATCATTTAAGTCTATTCTCAAGCAATAATGGCTCCATTTTGTAGGTCAATTTTAACATGCTACATTTGCCTGAGGGAATTTCAGGACATATAAAAATAATGATCAAATGTCAGTAACACAAAAGACTTCATCAGCACAAAAATCTACCTAAAAATCTAAAAATCTATTAGAACGAGCTTTTAGGCACAATCCTGAAGATCCATCCACTCATGGTAATTAAGGTTATTTTGAGAAAATGTGCTGAGAGTCAGACATGACATAAAGTGTGTGAATGCATGTCTCAAGTTCACAGCTGGACTGTACTTTAATGTTTAACAACACAAATAAAATTGCACCATCCCTTGCACGGATACTGTGTAAGGCAGTAGCAAGTCATTGTTTCCTCCTTCGTCCTGTAGGTGGCCCCAGTGGTGAAAGAGCGCGTGATGAAGAAGTGCAGCATGATGATCAGTCACCAGACCCACTGTGACAAGGCCAACTTTTTCAGGATGGTGGTCATCAGTCCCCAGGTCAGCAGGGAGGACATGGACTTTGTCCTGGATGAGATACACAGTCTGGGAAAGGACTTGTGATGAAAGATTAGTTTTTATGAAGATCCCCCCACAAAGTCAGGTTGCACAAAAGACCTTAGCAACCAAAGTAAGGAAAAAAATTGAAGGTACCTCTGACTATGTCTTAACTGCAACATGGCCAAGTTCACGGTGATAAATGAAGATAATGAAATACATCCCAAAAAGAGTGTTCCATGACTGGGACACACATGATGCAGTAGAATTTTTCCCACTGTAAAATCTCTTTCACTGCTGCAAATACCATAACTTTTTTTTTCTTAACTAAGGAAACATTTTAAGAGATCCTGTACAACACCCTTAAGTAACTCCCTCAGCTAAGGAGAAATTAAACCTTAAATGCCACACTTAAGTAGAAATCTTATGGTGTTTAGTGAAACGGGCCCCAGAGCTCTAACATTGCTGTATAGGTGGGAAAGCAGTGGCGTTTGTGCCCTCCCTATGCTTTGAGTCGTGGCAACTTTCCTCTGTGGCCAGCGGGATGTTGGACTGGACCGAACCACGAGCCAACAGGGCTCCAGGAGAAAAAGACCCAGAGGACCCGAGAGCTACAAAAACTTCTGTTTCATCAGTGAAAAAACTGGACACTCACACTGTGAAGCACAGCGCTGTTTTCAAGTTGGTACATGAAAAGAACGAAGTGAGTTTGAGAACAAAGACAAATGCCGAGTGCAGTTGTTTGTTCTTCTTTTGAAAAAAACATTTCCCGTCAAGTTTGTTTAATACCATCGCAACAGCAGATTCAACAGACCGCTCCACATCAGCAGTATGCATCTTGGGTGTTAACGTAAATGCTTCAATGGCACTCCCCTATCAGTCATCATCTGTTAATCTGTTTGAATGGGAGGGGGTCAAACCCATCTGTATAAACATGAACTCACTGATTGGTCTGGTTTCCAGGGCTGTAGGGACTTTGACAAGAAGCAAAAGTGGAAGTGAATGAGTACATTAGAAAAGGAGGATACAAGACTTTCACCCACAGAGGAATAAAGGCACAATGTGAGGAAAATATAATTCTAGCCAAAGTTTCATTTGATGATTAACCCTGAAAAACACATTCCAGAAAACTCTTTATGTCATGCATATGTAGATCTCTTGATGTTTTGTAAGACTTCTTCAGCCCCTGACATCAGTTCTGCCGATATTCATCAGTTATATGTTTGTTTTTTGTGGAACATTTCGCTTAAAAATTCCAACACACATTCTTTGTACAGACCTGGATTTATCTGTTCATGCATGTGATGCAGACAAAGCAGTCACTTCACAATAAAATCTAAAGTAAATTATTGGATTAGTATGAATGCCCTTGTGTATATAAGCAGTGGGCTTGCCCATCTACACCTTTAGTACATGTTAGTTTTATAGGCAGCCATCTCATGCCACATTGACTGGTGATACCATGAAGTGTAAAAGGATTAAAGAATGAACAAACAAATGAATGGCTTTTTAAAACAGAGGCACAGCAGGCAGGGCCAGAGGCTGATGTGCAGCCAAAACAAAGAGCAATACAAAAGAGAGATTAATTTACAGCACTGAATATCACTGTTAGTGGAGTGACATAATGTCTGCTGTTGTGGTGAGAGATGAGGTATGTAATTACACAGCACAGAAGCTTCTGATATTCCCAGATTAGCAAACAGTTTGTCAGTGAACATGGTTTCAGGTTTCCACTGCCACAGCCTAGTTTAAAGAAGTCACAGTGAACAACCTCCAGCTGCCAATCATGATGACCTTCCAACTCCTGTAGTTCCAAAGCTTGCAGATCATAGAGCTTTCTATCATAATTAAGGGGCTAAATTACTTGATTCATTTCATTGTATCCTGTTACTAGGAGATAAGTTATCTCTATACATGTGTGACAACAAATTCCCTTTAGTAAAGACCTGGTCAAGGTACAACAACAGATATGAGAAATACAACAAGTAAATTCTTGTGTTCGAGGACAAATTTTGTGTTTCCTCAAATACTGGCAGGTGCCTTTATTTACCTCAACTGCAGGTAGGTAACTTGCAGGTAGGTCATTTACAGGCAACAACATCTGGATGGTATTAAGGGACGACAAAGCAAAGGTCAGAATTAATGAATCAAATACTAAAATGAGTAATCCAGTACAAAGTGCTTCAACATAGCTTCATTATATTGTTGAAGTTATTAAATCAAAGCAGAAGAGGTGAAAAACATTTTTTCATAAATGGATCTCATAGTCATTTTCTCAGCTAACTAATAAAGTTTCACGTTGAAGCAGGAACATGAGCTGAGCTGTTAAATCCCCATATGCATGGATAACTCTTCATACTGTTTATAAGCTGGGGACTAAGTACACCCAACATGAAATGAACACAGACATTACATCAGTAAACCGTAGTGGTTCCACTAATAAACCAGGAGGAGTGTTTTGACCTTTGTGTATTTAAATACACTTATTTAAAGAACAAAAAAAAATGGAATAACAACTAACTGTGAAGCAAGGTACACAATCATCACAGTTTTGATTTAATTACATTTTAAAAGGTTAGTGTGTTGAATAAAAAAAAAGTATGATGGAGTTATGGTCTGTGTAATAGTGATGGGTCGGTCTCTTTGAAGTGAACGACGGGAGTCGGCTCCCGATCGAGAGTGATTTTTTTTTTTTTTTTTTTAATTGTCTTTTAAAGCCATTGGTGAACATGTGTGGCTGTGGCAGCGTCTGTGTGACTACACTGAGCAGGAGGGGGGAGGGGAGGGGTTACAGACACTCGCATTTTGTGTTTTGTTTTTCACTGTACACGGTTGCACATTTTCATTCATATTTTGTTGAGTGATGTTTAGCTGATTTTGTGTTTTTTCACAAATTAAAATGGGTCTTTTTTATTTAAAATGTATTTATGTATATGTTAAGTTATGTTACGTTTATTAATAAAGCCATATACATACTATACATATGTTATATTTTATGTTTTTTTTACATTAGTTATTCATTTTACACATAATTTGGTAATAAATTAATTTAAGTAACAAAAAATCTGAGGAGCCACTTGGGAGCCGAAAGAGCCAGCTCTCCACAAAGAGCCGGTATTCCCATCACTAGTGTGTAAGATGTAGGATTTTGAACATGATGTCCTCATGTGCTTATAGCAACAAAGTTCATGTAGCCTGCATGTACTGCCTGATCGCCATGTGAGGGTGGAAATAAAAGGAGAGAGCACTCAGGATGATGAATCAGCATCAGCAGCAAAGTTCATGAATCCAGGCTCGTTGTGGGACCAAGTGTTAAATGGATTAATGACTATCATGGGGTCAAATTGTTCTCCATGTGAAGGGGAGTACAGAGCAGGCGCTTGCTTCGATGAACTGAGGTGTTACAGTCCTGACAGTATCTTATTTAACTAAAGCTGTTAATTACAGTTAGCCTTCAGCACACATTCATTTTAATATTGTTCAATGACTCAACAGGTAAAACTCCTGAATTGTAAACAAAGGGGGTGTCTATTATAGAAGCTAATATCAACAAGACAGAAGACTAATTAAACCACCACAGATACACAAAAGAAACTACACTTATTAACATGAATGAATAAACTCTAAATTGATGTCAAAACGAATCTCTAAAACGACTAATCCTCCATTGTCTCACTGCTCATGACTGAGCACCAGTGTTTGCTAACATTAGATCATATATGACATTTTACATTGGTAATGAAATAACAAATCACTGAAACTGAAAAAGAAAGAGCATGCTATCAGCTCTCTAACATTAGTTATCTAAACTATAATTTAAGGCTAATGTTAGAAACTAGCTAATATTAGTTAGCGAAACTGTACTTTAAAGCAAAAGTTAAAAAAAAACTAGCTAACTCTAACTCAAGGCTAAAGTTAGAAACTAACATTAATGTTGGTTCAGTACTAGCTGTGTCCCAATTCAGGGGCCACATCCTTCAGAGGACGCAATATATGAAGGTGTGGCCCTTCGTAGCCGTTGTACTCTGTGCAGGCCAAACCAAAAATGACATGATTTCGCCTACAGATTTTCACTTTGCGTCACTAACTGTGCCCGCCCATTGCAAAGCGCAGCTCCTGTCACCTAGCAATGCCTAACACATAACTTTTTCTCACAACTTGATTTTATGGTGGCACCTGAATTCAGACACAGCTACTATCAGCTGGCTAACATTAGTTAGCTAAACTGTGACTTAAGGCTAAAATTAGAAACCAGCTAACATACAGTAAGTGCCGCCATCTTTAGACACTTGACACGATTATAATTGCTTGTGCAATGCATGGGAGCAGAGACTTTAGGATCGTGAGCCACTGGAGTGAGGCAGGCAAACGAGACAGTCAGCTAACATCAAGGTTATGAAATCGTAAGTTCCACTTTAGGGGTGTCTGAAATTGTATTACAAGACTCTTGCATACATGAATATGGGAAATACATTGTAATATTTACAATTACAGGTAAGAATGATGACTGAAACCACCACCAACCTTTTTTACCTCTTTTGGAAGGGAGGTCCAAATCTTAATCAGAATCAGCAGAACCCCACAATCCCCCCATAATTCAGACCCTGGTTCTGTTCTTTGGTTGATTGTCGTGTGAGTAACTATCATATTAAATGCATCCACATCAGGTCTCCACCTTTCCTCTATTCACTCTTGATCCTTCTGGTAATCCACCAACAAACACATACACGCCAACATTCAATATGCTTATCAGTTATCCAGAACTGAACTCCAGCATGTTGTTTTTGCTCTTCACACATGTGTGTCTCTCCCAAACACTCACTGATATAAGAGGCTATCCATCCTGCCTTCTCTGTCACAGCCTCCATGGTCAGCTACAGGTACAGTATGATGCCTCCGGTGATACTTGAGGTGGTTGGGAAACTGTCACTAATGACATTATCACATTGGATCTTGGCTCATTTAACAAGAATCCTTTAATTTGAAGTGTGTGTCTAAATGTTTTTAGTACATGAAGTAACAGAGACAGTCTCAATATGCAGGTAGGTTGGTTCACTTTTGGTGTGTTTGCTGGCTTAGTCTCAAAAGCATGGAAAAGATGATAGTCTATTTAATGTGTATTTACTTTTTTATCCATTATTATCAAAATACAGTTTGCTGTAGTCTGAATATCAGAGAATTATTTACATAGTTTCTCTTCACCTTTGGACTTATTGTGATCTGTTTTAGCATGTATATGTGTGTGTGGCCTTTTCATCTGGCATGTTTTAATTTGCAGTACCAGTGCAAGGTTTCTGTACCAATATATGCTGCCCTTGCACTACCAATGTGCAGCACGATACATTTTGTAAGTTTAGTGCATGTGTTTCTTTACCTTTGTGGTCGAGCTGCCAGTAACTGTCATCGCTCGTGGTTGAGTTACTGTCAGTACAAGTAGTGCTACCCTTCTTGTAGTTAGAGTTACTAGTTCATTTCTAACTTGCCATAATGCTAATTTATTTTTTATCAGAGACTTGTCAAAATACAAATTTAACATTCCTCTAATTCCATATTTCCATGTTTCCTACACAAGCTGTAATTACATGGAACTCATCAAATGCATTTCGCTGAGTAACACTTGAATCGCAACCTCACAATGACGCAGGTTCAAGATATCTGCAAGTAATGTTAACATAATTAATAGTAATTATAAGTCAAGCTCTCTCTCTAATTATTTTACCTTTTAAAATGTATATACAACAAAGTTATCATTATCAAGCTGTGATAACACATTCATTTGATTGGATTCATAACACAAAAAAGTGTAAGTAATTCATTATTTAAAGATTATTTTTTTTATACTGACAAGTGCTAAAGAATAATGAGGCCTCATAAATGGACAGACGCAGCAGTCAGTCTCTATCTTACAAACCAAAATCAGTTCACACTCTGTCTTTGTCTTTGTACTGATCAGTGTTTCAAATATAACAAATGATGGGGAATTTGATTATTTAAACTTTGCACCAAATTAACAGTTTGTCTCATAGTAAAATCTACATTTTGTTTTCCTTTAAGAAAAAAATCGTGAATATAGTTGATTATAGTTGTTTTTTGTTTTTGTCCCTGTATTAAAAGAATCTGTTACACCTGTAAAACACCAGGTGTCAGTCGTGTGTTGTTAAACCGTGTTATTGCGGCAGCCACTTTAGTCTATTTCCACAGACTAGTTTCAGAAATATTCAGCATCACAGTGACTCATGCAGGTGCAGGTGTAGATGAGATCTTATCGTTTATCTCTCCACTGACTCCAGGGCTGCATCTGAATGTTTCACCTTAAACTTTTTCTGTAAATCTTTCTTCATCTTTTTCTTTCTCAGTTGCTACATCCTGCAATTCTTCCTGATCTCCCTCTTAAAAGATTTCCTTTTAAAAATCTGACAGGGCAGAAAAGGTAGTGTTATCTAGTGTTGGTGTTGGGTATGGTTAGCTTTCTATTTTGGTACCTGGTACTACTGGGAATCTGCATATTGTTTTACCAACATTTAGATTTAGATTTAAACTTAATATTTAGATTTAATATTTAACATTACATTATTACTATTTCTAAGAAAAGTAAATATGATGAAGTTCACAAATGTTATAAATCTGGTAAAAAAAAAAGAAGTGAAAACTACTTTTTTAAACATTATCTGGAGTTAAATGTGGTGAAATGTTGCTGTTGATTTTAGTATGCACCACTTTACAATCAGCGCCCCATACACATTTATATCCATGAGAGCACACCAAACAGAAATACCTGTATATTATAAAATTTCACAGCACTTTCTGCTACAGCCTTCAGGTCACCACAAAGTGGCATTAACACAAAAGTTTGGCCAAACTGTCAACAACTAAACACATGTACACACAGTGACGGAAAAATCGACATACCTCATAACTCATCCAAATGCTGTGTAAACACGATTTCACAATTGTGTGTGCTGTGATGGCATGTCTGTTTATTTTTGGAAAACATGCAATACACAATGTGTACACAATGTTATGTGGTTTAAAATGAATTTTGACCTATGTGTTTGTCTCTCTTTCTCTATCAGCCATGGAGATAAAGGGTCTCTTGGTCTGTTTGGCTGCTGCACTCTTGGCAGGTATTACTACTGTATATTTATAGTAATTAGTATGATAAATTATCATGGATTATTTTAATTTGTAAAATATCTTCTCCTCTCTTCTCCAGTATGCCATGGTTGTTCTACAGGAAAGGAGTTTATCACAACATTTCTTCCTAACTCCTGGCAAAGTAATGCCAACGGCCACAGGCTGGAGTTGGTTCTGACTGCTCAGGGCTCTGCAGCCAATGTTCACATACAGGTGAGAGTCATGTTTGTATGTAAATTAGCATCGCGACAAATACACATGTAGCAGCAAAGTAGGCTCTGAAGTATTTGTCAAAGGCTGTATTGCATCACCAAAGATGACCTGATTCTGTATCTCATCATTAAGGTTTATTATCCATTACTACCTAAGTACAAGATGACAGGTGTTACACTGTATTCTGTGACCCATCAGACTGTGTGATCTACAGTGGGGTCCAAAGGTAATTAAACATGATTGACTGGGACATTACTGTTAGTAGTACCAACATCAGGAAGAGACATTAGGACTATACAGTCTGTCTTTGAAAACTGAGCCACTGCCCCTTCATATGTTTCTGCATGTCCACGCGTGGTAATTAGACAGACTCATAGAAAGTTTGGATGCATTTCAGATGTGTGGCTGGTTTAGCTGCTCCTGAACGAACAGAGCCACTTCAAGCAGGTCATAGGGTCTTTAGGAATTTAGATGCCTGTGTTGTAATGTTATGGTCATACAGACCATATAAATGATCACCTATCTCCTTCTTGCCTCTTCTACTCACAGGTTTGTTATGAGATACAGAAGTCATAGTTATGACATTAGATTTTTTTTTCTTTGGTGAAAGCAATGTGTTTCCATCCCCCAGTCGAGTGCTGGTTGATCCAGCTGGCCTTAGAAGTCCTGGCGTACCCGTGCAGCATATCACAGTGTGTAAAGGCGAAAAGTTAAAATGGTGTGGCAAGACATGAAGTGCCCATCTCACGTGTCACTCCCATTTTAATCAGTGCAGCCGCCTCATGTTTTTTTTCGTCCTGCACATGGTAACGGGAGCTGAGGCATCTGTTTACACTTCAAGTCAGTTTTCTTCCATTTGTAATAGAATTACTCAGATGGAGGTCAGGTCCCTCAAGTTCTCTTGAAGAGCTGGCGGAATTGTTTCCATAGAGATTTCCTCTTGGGTTTGCTCTGAGCCTCCATCTGCTTTTCCAGACACATTAATCTGTCCGTCACTTCGTCCATGCCTCCATCCTTCTTCTCCTCCTTCTCCTTCAGAGCCTGATTCATGGTCTTCAGAGACTCCTCCAGGCTGGACTTCTCCTTTTGCCACTGGAGTCTCTTCTGGACCAGATCTTCCTGTGCCTGGATCACTGCTGCCTCCAAGTCAGAGTTTTCCTGCTTTTGTTCAGCCAGGAGACGAGACCTGTCCTCCTCACACTGGCGACGTGACAGTTCCAGGTTGTTTTCAGCCTGGGCCAGTTTGAGCTGGACTTTGGAGGTCTCCTCAGTCTCTCTGGCGAGATGTGTCTCAGCCTTCTGCCTCCTCTGGACTTCTGCTTGGAGAATTTCCTCCAGCTCTCGTATCTTGTGTTCAGCGTCCATTCTTATCTTCATGGACTTGAACAGTGCGTCATCGATGAAGGCCTTCTCCTCCTCTTCCTCAGCGATCTTCTTCTTCTTCACCTGGTCGATGTCTTTGACAATGACACGCTGTTCTTCCTCCAGAGCAGATATCTTGTTGTCCTTCTCGCCCTTCACCTCTCTCTCAGGTATTGTAAGGAGAGCTTGTTCGGGCATATAAAAATCCAGACCAGTGTTACTGGGTCTGGCCTCAGACAGGTCTTGGTTGGTGTCTTTGTTCTTCTCCTGTCCCTCCTCTCTGTGCTCTTTTAATGGAGCGCTCTGGGCCGCAGGAAAATTGAGGTCAAACCCCTCTTGGAGAGTTGAGGTACTCAACTGGGGGTACTGGGGGTTGACGGGCTGGGGTCCTTGACAGGCTGCTTCTCCAGCAGATTTCTTGTTCATCGCTGCTTCCATAGATGAGTTTAATGAGACATTTCTCAAACAAGGTTTTCACACTTGTCTTCTGTGTTGAGAACTTGACCTTTGTCCCAGGGAACGCAAACTCAACACTTGCCTGTTTTGTCCGTTATGTTGGAGGTTTCGTTTGATTTTCCATGATCTTGTCTGTTGTCAGGTTTGATAGTTAATAAGTTGATAACTGGTGACATTAAGCATAGTCCCAGGGGAGGCTAACAGTTCCACATTTCCTTTCAAATGTCAGCTGATCATTTCTGACATAAATCATAAAACAACCGTGAACCGTTGTAGCTACATGAGTACACAGTGGCAAAACGGTTGGTTATAGTGAAGTCCAGCTACACTGTACAACAACCAAATCAAATAATAATGATTGAAATATCATATGAGCTGATGGGTCATTGGTCGAACTCTTCTTCTCCTCCTTTTGCTTTTCCTCGTTGGGGTAGACCTGAGTCAATTGGTGAAGCTCACAAGACAGCAGCAGCTCTGTGTGTACATCAGAGGGACAAATCTTCCCAGCAGAGTTGATTTAATACTGAAAACAACACATATACACAAGTCACAAGAAGGCTTTGTGATCACTCTCAAACAGTTTGAGGAACACTAACTTTAAAACCATACTTTGCACATGTTAAATCGTCAAGAGTGGTCTGGTCCCCAATTTTTAAAGTAATTTAAAAATAGTATTTTTTCTCTGTATTGTTAATGTGTGGGATGAGGCTAAAGTGACTGTGGGTGAAGTTTCTGGTTAAACATTAAATTGCCAAGAAAGTCAATGTCCAGGTTGTTTTAATGTCGCTTACGAATGTTTAACAAATCCTTGCATGTTGATCCGCAGGTGGCTTCAGTGCGTTTCTCCCAGCGGGTGACCGTCCCAGCGGGCGAAAGCCGTCGTGTTTCTCTGCCAAATGCGTACGACCTGCGAAAGCAGTTTGTTCGTGCGAACTCAGCTGTTCGAATCTCATCGAACGCTGCAATCTCTGTGGTCTCCTTCAACCTTCGCTTCGCCACAGGAGATGGCACGGTGGTTTTCCCAAATGAAGAGCTGGGTACTGACTACTTTGTGTACACTCCCACTAGCGGCAGAAACAAGGTATTGGCTATCGTTAATGGCAATAGCCGCAACCAGATCACAATCACACCACGTACTCGTGCGTTACTAAAACCTGGAATCAGGCGTGGGAGAGCAGTGACCATCACCCTGGAACCCTACGCATCCTACCTTGTACAAGATAAACAAACTTTGACAGGCACTCGTGTTCAATCCCAAAAGCCCGTCGCTGTCTTAGCAGGCCACCAGTGCCTGAGGCTGTGGCGTACGTGTGAACACGTGTATGAACAGCTCCCTCCTGTGGCAAGCCTGGGTAAAGAATACCTGGTACCCGCGACCGCCACCAAAAGCATGAAGAGCTGGGCAGTGATAGTAGCTGCTGAAGACAACACTGAGGTGAAACTGCTCAGCGGCCAACACTCAAGCAAACAGTTGAGTTAAATATGAATTCATAATATACTTTTGTAGCTACAGACAAGGCTATCATGGTCTGTCTCTTTGTCTATCTACCTTCTCATCCATGTATGCATCTAACACACATCTAATACAGTATACATCCGAATACATTATTACAACACATGTCTCTAACAGGTAAAGAGAGCTCAACAAACTGCAGCTTAAAACCATCTTTGGCACTTTAACAGCACATGTGTTTTAGTACTTGTAGCATTTTTGGATTTGGATTTCTGTTAATGTTTGTGTTTTTGCTTTTGTATGTGTTTTGTCCTTAGGGGCCACCACATATTCAGGAATACTTTTTGAAAGATGAAAAGCAAATATATTGGTATTTTCTATAACATGTTGAATATATAGAGCTGTGCAGAAGTTTTAGGGACTAAACATGAAGTGAGGATGCTTACAAAATAATACAATGAGTTTTATTTATCAATTAGGCACAAAAGACCCAAATCAGATCAGTATTTGCTGTGCCTTTAAAACAGCACCAGTTCTCCTCGGTCCATCTGGCAGATACGTAGTTCCAGCCTTTTTGGAGAACCTGCCACAGTTCTTTTGTGGATTCAGTCAGTGTCTCTGTCTCTTCATGTGATCCCAGACTGACTCCATGATGCTGAGATCAGGGCTCTGTGGGGGTCCAGACCATCTGTTGCAGGACTCCTTCTTGTCTCTGAAGATAGTGATTTCTGACTCTGGCTGTAATGAATTTGGCACTGGTCAGATACTTCCCTGATGGTATAATCTAAACATCTAAAGTACCTAAAACTTTTGCACAGTACTGTATATTACTTGATTCAGGACTTGAAGGCACATTATCAACTTTGGAAACTATGGAAGCCATAATTCTGATCTGATAATTACAAGAGAATAGGCTATATCATAATTACAAGAAACGTATCCCATAGTTATGAGAGGCATGATTGCCATACCATTTTCTTTTATTTCTAGTTTGGCTCAGGTGGAAGCCACACTGTGATCTGATCTGTGACACACAGAATGAAACCCTTCTTTGTCAGCTATAGCTGTCCAGTCCGCTAGGTGGCGGTAATGCACCTGAAAGCTGGTTGCCAACCGCCCATCAAATCAAAAGAAGAGGAAGAAGGAGAAGTAAACGAACAAATTACATTGTTTGAGACAGAATATTGTTACAGGAATAGAGCAGGTCCTTTCAGGAACAGATCAGTACATTGGTTGCTGGCTTGGAGAGAGAGAGAGAGAGAGAGAGAGAGAGCGATGAGGCTGGCACTGGAGCAGAGGGTTAGCTAGTTAGTTAGCAGTAAGCAGTGTAGCTGTGAACATACAGTGTGGTGTATGTGCACTTCAGGCTGTTTGTCAGTAAATAAATACTACAGCTCCTTAAGACCCAAGTTCCCATATCTCCCCTGTGCTTCAACTACAGTCCATGAGCCAGGAACGATTAACAGCACTGAGGCTGGTAAATACAGGATTCAACATTGTCACTGGAGTGTGTCATTGTCAGTTAATGGTAAATATTTTGAAGATTACCGTAGAAGTGATATTTTCCCCCCGGCTGCTTGCCTATCTGTGAAAGTCACCGCACACCACCAGTTTGTGATAGAGCAATACGGTGTGATTCAAAATGTCTGCAGTTGCAGTGAAGCTGAAATTCCTAATTAGGTCACAAAATGTGGTGTAGCACATCTTATCTCATTATTACAAAGTCTTTTCTCATAATTATAGATAGTAAGTTGTATTTATGAGATATGGAACTCATAAGAGGAAGTCCTTTCTCATGGCGGAATGTTGATCTCTGTAATCAATATTATAGAGTACGGTGTAGACCTGCTTTATATGAAAAGTGCCCTGAGATAACTTCTGTTATGAAAAAAAACAAGGTCTTAATGTTCAATTTGAAGGTTCAATTTGAAATAGCAGTTTGACAAAAAAAAATTCTCAGCACAAGAGCCACTTACTGTAAATTTTCTGGATCTTTTAACCACATCTTGTGGCCTTCGTCAGTGGATGGAGTTTGATCAGTTGTCATGACGATGGTTCAGTTGTTGGTGATGGTTAGATCTCTATTTTCACATAATAAAAACTAGATAGTTCAGTCAACTCCATGACAAACACTGGTGAAGAAAATTCCCAGTAAGTGGCCCTTTAATTTCAATGTCAAACCATCACCTAATATGTTCCATCTTGTAGTGGCTGTGGTATAAGATGTATGTAAATATGTTACTGTGTTTCTCCGTATAAGTGTGTGACTTTTTACAGTAAACAAAACTCTCAGAATATATTTCCCTCAATTCATCTAAATTTGAATCTAACAAGTAAATATATCACACTCACAGCACAATAAAGATGAAGAAAGCTGGGGACTTTACCTGGACCAAAGTGTTCTTCAAACATCCACTGGTTGTCAAGAGCAACAAGAAAGTATTGGTGCTGCTTCTCAGCAGCAACCAACCAAACGACCCTTTTCTGATAACACTGACCCCTACATACAAGCTTGCCACTGACTGGGCGGTGGAGACAATTGCCGGACTTCCAAGTGTTGTTGCCATTATATCAGAGAGGGAGGGGTCAGGCAGTGTGAAGGTGTGTCAGAAGGGACGGTGCTTTACACCTAACTGGAGTGGCTCCCTGTCTGATAAGCGCTGGGTGTGGTCTAATGTACCTGTGGGGTCACAGCAGAGTCATGTGACAGTGGAAGGTGACGCCCAGATGGCAGTCTACGTCTATGGTGGGAAACACAGACATGGATACGGAACAGCTGGAGTTTGTTCTGAAGGTACACAAACACACACACACATACACACACAGTATTCATTCAGTTATAGTTTTTCTACATGTCTACCCAGAGATATCACTTCATAGTGAAAAGGAATAGAGGAAACTGATGAGGTATAGTTCTTATGTGGCAACTAATGATAGGACAATAAATTGTATCTGCTGTGGTGCTACATGTGCAGGGTGTGTTTGTATCTCCTGTAGGTGCCACTCCGCCTCCACCCCCCCCGGATCCTTGCGCAGAGGTGAAATGTCGAGTAAAGGAACGTTGTGTGAAAGGAGCATGCGTCCATGTTTCCACAGCAACCTGCCATGCGACGGGTGACCCCCACTACTTGACATTTGATGGCCGGCGCTACGACTTCCAGGTAGGTTGGGACGGTCATCATCAGCCATGACATAGAGAATATCTCTATCACACTGTTATATTCTGTAGAGGCCAACAGGGGCACACTGAACTGAGACATGCTCACACTAACATATATCCTCATGAAATGTTCAGAGCTGCGTTAGGTTTTGTTTTAAAAATAATCTTGCTCACAAAAGTGTGAGAGAGGGACGCTTGTTATGTCGCTTGTCTGCTGGACTAGCCATGGTCCAGTACCAGAACTTGGACTCAGCGTTCCTGGCGCCTGCATGAGATGATGTGCCAGTAAATAACATGTTTTCCAGGGTTCCTGCACTTACATTATCACCACAGTTGCAAAGAAGGCACCTGACCTCGTACCTTTCACCGTGACGACCAAGAACAACCACCGAGGGAACCGTCGAGTTTCATATGTGAGGACCGTAACTGTCAGCGTTCACAAGGAGACCATCGTCATCGGCAGACACAGAGGACAAGTGCAGGTAACAGGCCTCCCATCTACTACTCCACTCTGTCCGCTGTAACGGAAGTGAATATGATAATTAGTTAAAATATAAAAACAGTCGTTAGGAGTGTAGCTGAGTCAAGGACAGCATGACAAGCACACTTCACCCAGTGTGTTGATAATAATAAAGTGATAATCCCAGGATTATCCTCAATGTACACACATCTCTACAACAGAGCCAGATGTTACAGCAGAGTCATGTTACATCCGGCTGACTTTCCTTTGGAAGTGAAAGAGGCTGATGTTGCAGATGGCGGTGGTAAGACTGAAGCGGTGGAGTGTGTTGACATGAACATGTAGCAGAGTAACAGTGAAGACTGACAGGTTATAGCGGCAGTGCTACACAGCAGAATGAATGTGACTGGTAGCTACACTGCCAGTGACGATGAATGAAGCCGCTGATGCTAATTAGCTAAGGCAAGCTCAACTTTTACGGCTCTGCCTGAATGATGTCTGGTTTATACGCAGTGTTACAGACGTACAGTCTGTTCTGGTCACTAATCTGCTATCCCCTGTAGGTGAATGGAGAGCTTCAGTACCTGCCTATCACCCTGTCGGCCGGCCGGGTCTCTGTGAAGCGGAGCGGATACTACGCTGTCCTCAGAACTGACTTTGGCCTGACTGTGAAATATGACTGGAACACGAGGCTGTACATCACAGTGCCGTCCTCCTACTATGAACACCTGGGCGGCCTCTGTGGGAACTACAATGGAGACAGCAGAGATGACCTCCCGGAACCAAAAGGTGAGGAGGGGAAGTAACAGGTTCACAGGAGGAGAGATGGTTGGTGCAACAAGTTGTCCAGTATTCCCAAACACATTTTCTCTCTCTTTCCCTCTTTCTATCCCACTCCCCCACTTCCCCCACCTATTTCTCCACCTGTGTACCTTCACAGTCCCGAGCTTGGCTGAACACCACCAGGAATGTGATTATGAATCAGTTCATCAATTTAAACATCAGTTTTCCTTCTGTCTCTTGCAGGCTCCTCTGTCTCTCTAGTGCTGAAGATGATCCAACAGTGGAAGGTGAAGGACCCTGATCTGTTCTGTCATGATAACTGTGCTGGTCGCTGCCCCCACTGTTCACAACAGCAGCAGACCCACTTCCGTCAGCCCAGACTCTGTGGCGTTCTGACCGAGGCAAGTGGACCGTTTTCAGCCTGCCACAAGAAGGTCGACCCCGGCATGTACCTGGACAACTGTGTCTATGACATCTGTGTCAACAAAGGTAAGACAGTAATTATAGATGTCCACAGTTGTCCACTACATGGTGTACTACCTGCTGTAGTTGTAGCCGCATGTCCACTGACTGAAATATAAATTCACACTTCTCCTTAAGAAAATGCAGAATATTCAAATTGACATTGAAAGACTGCTGCCTCTGCTACAGCAGCTACAGCGTCCTCCATTACTAATGAAAACCACAGAGCTTGTATTTCAGAGCCCATTGGTTCACAAAGCTAACCTGACCAGGTGATACATCCACACATGATATTTTATGATTTGAAGGCGGTTGGATCATGAGACTGGTTGAAATTCAGGGCATGATTATAACTGTGCTGAGAGCAGCACAGGTTCATTTAAACCACAGGGACGTTTTGCAGGGGGATGTTTTAAGTCGAGGCTGATTTCAGCAGTGGACTGGTTCAGATGCCAAATCAGAGAGGTCACCTAAATAAATAAAGTGTCAATCAGAAAGACCCACCGGGCCTGTTGCAGTACATTCCTGTGATGTCTCAAGATTCACGTTGTAATGTCGAATGTGTTCATGTGTGTGTGTGTGTGTGTGTTCGTCCAGGTGCACGGCAGGTTCTCTGTGACAGCTTGAAGAGTTATTATGATGCTTGTCTGACAGAAGGAGTGAAAGTCAACCCAGAGTGGAGACTAATCACCAAATGTTGTAAGTCTCTAAGCAATAATATTCCCCCTTTGAACACTGTTACAACTGCAAGTACTAAAACCTAAAATAAACTACCATGGACAACCAGAAGTGGAGGACCTTTAGTTTCACAGCACCGTGTTCTGACAGTATGTGTCAGCAGAGAGCTGTAGATGACTGAACAGCTGCAGCTGAATTAATATTAGCTTCCAGTCCTCTCAGCTTCTGAGATCATGAACTTCATCACAGTCACACAGAAGATCATTTCAAACTTTGGACTTGATGTGAGTATACTCGGTTTTCCTGCCAATGTCCTGGACTTCAAGATTCAGAACATGGTGGGCAGCTGCGATGTGAAGTTCCCCACCCAGAAGGAGGGATTATTCCTCACACATCAACAGTTCAGCAGTTATGAACCACAGCTGTTTCCAGGGTTAATTTACAGAAGGATCAAACCCAGAATAGTCCTGCTCCAGGACTAGTGTAAGGGCTGTTCTGCAAGGATGCGATTTAGTCGCTTTTTACTTTTTGTCCCTCTGGTGTTCCAGATTTTTGGGAAAAACAAGATTTTAAAGTTTTTTTTTAAGTTATTTTTTGGGGCATTTAGGCCTTTAATGTGAAAAAAAGAGTGAGCGATAGACAGGAAACATGGAGGAGAGAGAGGGGATGACCTGTGGCAAAGGGCCTGGGCTGGATTCGAACCCGGGCCGCTGTGGTAAGGACTGAGCCTACCAGCAAGGCACCGGGGCTCCACTTAAAGCTCTTTTTTCTGTGTTCTGATCACACATGATGGTGTGTTTGAAATAAAGAATTTTTCAAGTGACGTGAAAAGACTCAAGTCCAAGTCATGTCGACCTGACAGTTTTTTTTTGAGTTTGTCAAGTCTTTAAGTCGTCAGATCTGTGACTTGAGTCTGACAGTCGTCAGGTTTCCTTCGCAGTTTTGCACAAAATACAAGCTTTTTTTTGTTTGTTTGTTTTTTTTTTAAAAAGTCAACAAAACACAGTTATGAATTGTGTTTCCATCGAGTGATGTTATGTGAATGAAGCTGGGGTTTCTCCTCTCGTGATATTGTTCCAATTAAACATGACAGCAGATTTCCAGCACCTGCCTCTCGGCTGGAACTGGCTCCCTCGGGCCTGATACGACAGGAGCCATGACTTGAATGTGAAAAAAGTGTTTCCATTTCATTTTGTGAAATATAACTTTGGGGAATAGTCTGAAAAACCACCTCATGCAAGACTGTGTTTTCAGTTGCGCATTAAGCAGGTCAATGGAAACACATCCACCCTGCTTTCCCTTCTTATGGAATATGAACCATCATCCGTGAGTCTTGCAGCAGCACCACCTGGAGAAGTTTGGAAAGGTTCGAGGTTGATGCAAATGTCCTCTGACGTGCAGGAGTGACAGTCTGGAGATAACCAATCACACTGGCTTGTGTAAATCATGTACTTGACACACCTGTAAGACTCAGGCTGGTGAGAGGCAGGAGGAGGAGGCCGCTGCTTTGAGTCCATATGTGTAACCAGGACATAAAACATGTCCAGCTGCCTTTGGTTTTTTATTTTTTTTTTCCAGATCTGTTGAATAAATATAAAGTTCCGATCATTGAAAATGAATAATTAATGTAAATATATTGATATTTTTTAATAATTTGGTGGTGTTTTTGTATTGGTTTAGGAATATTGGTTTAGACTCAACATATACTCATGGCACTCCCCACTCTCCCCTCCCCAGACCCTTCCTGTCCAGCAGGCAGCCACTATGAGGCATGTGGTTCAGCCTGCTCTGCCTCCTGTGTGTCCCTGGACAGTGAGAAGCAGTGTAAGGAGCCCTGTGTGGAGGGATGTCAGTGTAACAAAGGACTGGTGCTGAGTGGAGACAGGTAACACAGCAACCATGCTACTACTAATATGACAATACTAAACTGGTTCTTATAGGAACAGAAGCTTCATTATGTTTCTGCCAAACTTTTAGAAATTAAATGTCTAGTGACTTTTATGCATGAATACTTTTCCAGGTTTATTTTGTACTATCCCATATTCATACAGACAGACCATAGGTTAGAAATGTGCTCTGCTGCTCTGAGAACAGGAGGCAGTACATTGATTAATTGTGTGTGTGTGTGTGTGTGTGTGTGTGTGTGTGTGTGTGTGTGTGTGTGTGTGTGTGTGTGTGTGTGTGTGTGTGTGTTTTATATGTGTGTCTGTATGTCNTGTGTGTGTGTGTGTGTGTGTGTGTGTGTGTGTGTGTATTTCAGATGTGTTCCTAAGTCTACCTGTGGATGTCAATATCAGGGTAGATATTATCCATCAGCCACCACTTTTTGGGGTGATAACACCTGCACCACCAGGTGTACATGCTCTAATGGAAAAGCCAAGGTTGGTGTTTCTCTGTGTGTGTGTGTGGCTGCATGTTGCCACTGAACAGGACCTGAGCTGTGTACCACTTGCTGTTTGATTATCTTTGTGCAGAGGCAGAAAGGGAAGTGACTGGGTCGGGGCTCACACACTTGTGAGATAAGCAGACCCTGCAGTCGGGGGTTTCAAGAGGCACGGGCCAGGGTCATGTAACAGCAGAGCTTTGTTTGTAGAGCCCTCTGTGAGAGGGATGCAACAGCCCTCAGGCCCCTATGCTTCCAAGTTAATTCGAAATATAACCTAGAGGTTAATGATTATAGAACTATGAACCTGCTCTATGATTATTAAAACTTTTTCACATTTCTAACATTTCTATTCATGTTTTTCCAGCACCTTACACCCAAAGTCTTAGAGGTACAAATCTTTCAGCTGTTTCTGGTTATAAACGGGTCTAAATGTGAAGCAATGCCTTTGAATTGCTGCATACCCACTCCAGACCTTAATACAGCTCCCTTCATCTGGAAACCAGAGGGAATGAGATTTGGCTGTGACTATTAAAGCTCCTGTGAATGCAGTATTTATATTCTGCTACAGCCCAGGAAGTAGGATCTGAATAGATGGTCCAGCCTTTTATCCCTTTCTCTGTATGAAAGATAAAGTGTTTCCTATATTTTTGTGGACAAAACAAAACCTTGGATTAACCACAAAAGACTTCTCAGATGTATTAATCATTGATTATTTAAACCATAGTGATAAAATAGAATTATTGTTGAGTTCAACTAGACAGATCCACCATATATTTATACTCATATTTTTTGAGACATGTGCCCTTCAAAAATGTCACAATTATAATTTTTGTCTAGACTATAGATGCCCCTTCTTGGTTTTTGGTTGTATTTGATGTGTCCATTTCCTGTTTCACTTTGAGTGTCTATATTGTAATGAATAAAGTGTAAATAAAATTAATATAGATTTTTAGATAAAAAGAATCAACAAGAGTTTATTGGTTTTATCTAATACTCTGCTCTGTTCTGTTCTCTTGGTCCAGTGTAAACCGTTTGCCTGTAAGAAGAGTGAGCACTGTGGCCTGAAGGGGGGGGTGAGGAACTGCTACCCAACATCCTATTCAACGTGCCAGGGCTCTGGAGACCCCCACTACCGAAGCTTCGACAACCGCTGGTTTGATTTCCAGGGCACTTGTACTTATGTCCTGTCTCAATACAAGGGACCAGACCAGAGCCTGGTCCCATTCCAGGTGCTGGTCCAGAATGAGAACAGAGGCAGTAACAAGGCTGTGTCCTACACCAAGTCTGTCTCACTTACTGTATTTGGTTACACCGTCAGCATGAGTCGGGCCAGCCCTCGGAAAATACTGGTAAGATCCGTTTGCCTACAGTATTCACCTCTAGTCCTCACCAGTTACGGTAGAGCACTGCTGCAGTAGAGTATTAGTATTGATAAAGTATTCATTTTTGTTCTTTAATTGAGTTTACATTAAAAAGATGCATGTAACTTTATCTAATAGATCGTGTGGTTGTGTGCTGATGTCATGAAAAGGTTTTGCTTACTCTCATTTCAACACTGAGCTACAGCCAGCGGTTGATGACCATCATGTATGTTGTGCAAGTCGTCACAATCAAAATAAGAACCCAACAAAAAAATCATGTTGTTTTTCATGTTCTTCACTGAGAAACTATTTATGAGCTGTTTTCAAGATTTACCTCTTCAGTTCTATAGAACCAGTGGACTAAGAACACATTGTTGGTTTGGGTCTTTTCATGGCATTTGTTGCCAGAAGTGACAGTAACAAAGTACACTTACTGGAGTACTGTACTTAAGTACATTTTACAGTATTTATACTTTACTTGAGTATTATTTTATTACAAACCTATGAATTTTACTCCACTACACTATTAATTATTAATTACTAATATTGTACTTGTTGACTCCACTACATTTATATAGTACTGTTACTTTGAAGCAGCTTTTAGTTAGTGGAATTAATCTTTTATTTTGAAAATGTGACAGACCATACATTGTGTTCATCACAGGAGAAAAACAATACAATAAGTTGACATAAATGACAAAATATACTTTTGAATTCTTAAGTATTTTTAAAATCAAGTACTCCAGTACTTTAAGTCAAGTAAGTTTGACTCAGGTGATTAAGTTATGTACTTTGTCCACCTCTGTTTGATGTAAGAGTACAACACAAGCTTTGTTGCTCACCTTCTGAATGTAGCTAACATACTGTCAGCACCACTGTGCAGCGACTACATGTGGTGTTGCAGGGCTCAAGCTGGTTCACACTGTTTCTGTCTGTATATAGGGCCATTCTTGATACTGTAACATTGAAACCCCCCTTCTACCTCCTCCCACCCCCCATCCCACCCAGGTAAACAGTCAGTTGGTGAACCTGCCTTACTCCACGGTAGATGGCAGGCTGTCCTTGTTCCGGTGTGGCTACTTCGCTGTTGTGAGAACAGTTTTTGGTTTGACGCTCAAGTTCAACTGGAACAGCTACGTCAGCTTGACTTTGCCAAGTTCATACTCTGCTGCAACTACTGGTAAGTTGGGTGTACGCGACACAATTTATTGTCGACAATAAAGTCGACAGCTCTGCAAACTTTATTTGTTGTAATGAGCTTTCAACTGATCATGGTGGGGAAGTCTCCCGGACAGACCTGGCAAACCCAGTCTTGTAGGGTGAGCTGGGAATGTCTGGCAGAGGTCCTCAACTCCAACCTCCAGAAGAATTTCTCATTCATCCAGGGATTGAGGAAATAGAATCCGACTGCACCATGTTCAAACAAAACCTCCACTGCAGAGGCAGCAGGTAGGAGTTGTGGTCAGAAGGTCATTGCTGCCTGTTGTGGTGGCAACTTAAGAACCTGCTGGTGGATACCTGAACTGAAGGAAGCCTTTCGGACTTGGTTGGCTCAGGGGTCTCCTGAAGCAGTAGACAGATACCTGGAGGTCAGTAGGGCTGTAGTTTTGTCAGTCAAACCCAGGTGTGGAGGGGGAGGCTGTGGAGAAAGACTTTTAGTTGGCCACAAGGAAGTTCTGGCAAAACCACTCAGGAAGGGAAAGCAAGGCTTGGCTCAAGCTGTGTTCAGGGCACATGCAACTGGAAGGAGACCCCAGGGTAAATCGGGAACTCTGTGAAGTTACAGTATTTCATATCCCATCTGTGTGGGAACACCTCGGGATCCCCCGTGAGGAGCTGGAAAACGTTGCTGGGGAGAGGAACGTCTGGACTACCCTGATTAGCCTGCTGCTACCACGACCTGACCCTGGATAAGCAGCAGAAAATGGATAGATGGAGGGGGGGTCTGAATACTCTCTGAAGCTGCTGTATGTTAGAAAGGATTCAGTGCATCACAAACTCATCATCTGTCCATGACTCAAATGATTTTCATGCTTCCAAAAAGTTGGAGGAATGCAACTGAAGTGTTCTAATGTGTAACTGCTGTGGTTGCTTGTTTCTCTTTATCAGGCTTGTGCGGAAATTACAACGGAAAACCTGGTGATGACTTACTGAAACCTGATGGCACCCAGGCTGCACAGATTAATGCCTTTGGACACAGCTGGAAGGTTTGTATTACTGGGTCTAAAGAGAAGGACCTATGAGAATCATGCAGGAACCTGAAATTGACCTGAAAAACCCAGGAAATAGAAGTGCAAAACAAGCACATGCTCCATCCACAGCTGTTCATACACAGTCTATAGCTTCTTAAGCTCAATGCAGCAGATAGAATATTGTCTGCCCACCTGGTGGATAGGTGGGCTGGAAAATAAAGTCGTGCAAAAGAACTTCTGACATTTGAAAAATATGAACCTATTCTTTAAACTCAAAATGTTTTTTTAAACTAAATAACCTCTGCATATTGTCAGTTTTCCATATAAATGTCATTGAACACAGGTAGGAGGAAACCCCGGCTGCACCAGTGACTGTGCTGGTGGTAAATGTCCTGAGTGTGAGCCTGCTCTGCTGCTACGTTACCAGCAGGGGAGCTACTGTGGGATCATATCTGACAAGAGTGGGCCCTTCAGGTAGGTGCTACAGCAGTCGCCAGAGAGTAGGAAAAACATTGAGGAGTAGTTGGTGGTTAGCAGAACAACTGTTTAACCATCCAAATAACATAGTTGTTTCCATTTATACTTTGCTCGCTTCCATACATGCACAGTAGATCGTCGTCCACGTATTCCGCACGTGCACTCTGCGAATCCAATCAAAATGGCAACATCCATGCAAGAAGAAGAGGAGCTGCTTGGTCTGCTGCACTTATTCTTTTAAAGATGTATAGTTGAGGAGAGGGTAGCGGCGGACCTCCTCACGGCCTCGCTTCATTGTTTATGTTTATTGGTTTATTTTATCACTGTAGCTCTCTCTTTCTCTCTCTCTCTCTCTCTCTCTCTCTCTCTCTCTCTCTCTCTCTCCCTCTCCACGTACTGATCTTTTCCTGAAAGGAGCTGCTCTACTCCTGTAACAATATTCTGCCTCAAACTTACAGCAGATCTTGCACAGAGAAGATAAATTGCTTGTTTAAATGCTAAAGCTGCTGCGTCTTCAGGTAGAAAAAGACTGTGGAAGTAACGTGCAAGTTTAGTTTCCACACGTCTTCACATGCGTATAGACATGACAGAAATGACAGTTACAACAGCTGGAGGTCAAGCTAGTTGTCAGAGACCCTGCTGCCACCAAAAGAAGGCAGTAAATGACGTGATGAATACAAACAGGCATCGGATCCTTTATGGGACAGAATGCTGTTCAGAGATCAGATGCAAGGAGTGACATCACCTCCACTTCAGTATCGTAGCAACTGATGTCCTGATGTCTTAGTAACACCAAAAGTAAAGTTTCACCTTTTCATTGTGCTGTACAGACAAGCTGCTCTTCTCAAAAACAATTTAATAGGCAAGAAACAGTATGCATGCTTAGTAAGAAAAATATGAATAGTGACACATTTTAAAAGTAGATGAGGTCAGATCTATAAATGATCTCTGCCCAATCAAATACCTGAGGTTAAACATGTGCAGTCTCTCTGTTTGATAAACAGTGTCTACAGACTGTGTCCTCACTGTGACGGCTCTGTCTTTGTCCTTCTCTCTCTGCACATACAGACAGTGTCACAGTAAACTGGACCACAAGCCCTTCCTCAAAGACTGTGTGTTTGATTTGTGTATGTACCAAGGCCACGCCTCTGCCCTGTGCAACAGCCTAACAACTTTCAGCACTTCCTGTCAAAATGCAGGAGCTAAAGTGGAGAGCTGGAGAACCGAACAGTTTTGTCGTAAGTCATGCACACACACAGACACTGAGTAAACTACACTACCCATCCATCCATCCATCCATCCATCCATCCATCCATCCATCCATCCATCCAACCATCCATCCATCCATGAGTAACTCCTGGTAACTCCACAATAAGAACAGGACTTTTGTTGGTGTTCTGTGCAGAAATACTCTGATACTCCCTGAACTAAAATGTCAGTTTTACATCTAAATGTGAATATAATGTATAACAGAAATCAGTCAGTCAGATAAAAGTCAATGTTGAGTTTCTGTCAGGATATGATGTCACTGACAGGCAACCAATGAAACGTTACCATGATTAAAATCACAGATTTCTCTGGTTTGAGAATTGAAGGAAACATTTGTGATAATGTAAGAACACAGCTCAACAACATAAAGAACATAGGTCCAGTTGTTTTTAGACATTTTAATATGGAAAAGTTACAGATTACAACTTTAAATGTTCTTGGCTAATGAATTATTGTCTTGATAATAAACTGTTTGTCGTGTTTGGATCATGAACGCTCCAAAGTCACAGACATGTTTATGAAGTTTTGCGAGGACAACTGTCACTCTGTGTTTTATCTGGATTGATTTTGTTTGTCTCCACCAGCTCCATCATGTGGTGCAAACAGTCACTATGAGGTGTGTGCCCAGCCCTGCCAGCTGACCTGCAGCGGCCTCACCCCCCCCGAGGGCTGTGACGACAGCAGCCCCTGCACAGAAGGCTGTGTGTGTGACGATGGGTTCATGCTGAGTGATGACAAGTGTGTGCCTCTGGCAGAGTGTGGCTGTCAGTACGAAGGACAGTATTATCTAAATGGACAGGTACTGTAGCAGTGACAGTATATCATATCCCACCTCTTTACGTTCCTGCCTCTTCTGCCACCACTGATATTTCTCCTCTCCTCTCCTCAGGTGTTCTATCCAGGAAAGTCCTGTAACAGCCGTTGTGTCTGTTCAGACGGTGACGTTCAGTGTGATCATAAATTCCAGTGTTCAGCCACTGAGAAGTGTGTTGTGAAAGATGGTTCCTCCACCTGTTCTCCCAGAAGTGTCGGTTCCTGTTCTGTGAGCGGAGTCAGAGCAGTGCGGTCCTTCGATGGACAGGTAAAGTCCTTCCTCACTGAGGCTAAAGTACACGTGTAATCCAGGAAAACATGGAGCAATGAGATGGCAATATTTTAAAAAAGAGTCTATTTCAATATGAACTTATTTAATCTTTTTAGTGATATGTTAGCATTAAATTTTATAGATACATTTTATATTATTATCTCTATATATTCAGTAATGATATCTCTCACTACTAACATCACGGCATGACATGGTGTGTTCACTGTCAGTTCATTTAGGGAAATCTAATTCTTCCTCTGGAACACAGACAGCCGCTAACATGCCACCTTTTGACTTAACTGCTAGCGTTAGCTGCCACAGGCTACCTTTTGCTTAGTCTTAGCTTAGTGTCTCATTACTTTCCACATTACACACTGCACATACCAAACTTGAGTTTACTTACCCATGTCTTTGTCCTCGTTCCCTGCACCAGTAACATTGTCTAAATAAATTCAGTTGAACGAAAGGTCCACCATCTAATTTTGGACGCATTCCTGTTTTTTTCTCTTCACACGTTGCAGGTTCAGTTCAGCATAGTTCCTCCGTAGTGCGAAGTATCACATCAGATGCTTCACAACCACAACAATCAGAGGGATACATGCAGATGTTTAAAATTAAATATAAATCATTTGGTCGATGTCAAAGCACTGTAAAATGTTAGTTTTGGTTCTACTTGTAGACAATAAAGACAAGCCCAATGGTACATGTATAACATATAGTTGGCCACGTTTCTGGATGTCACACGCATTTTGTTTGGTTTCGTGTTGGGTTGAATGGTGTTGAAGCAGTTTATGACTGAGCTTCATCTGCTGCCTTCACACTTTGTGCTGTGTTGGTGTGGTACATGCAGCTACATGAGCCACATGGATGTGCTGTTGTCTGCAATCTACCCACCATCCCGGAGTAAATCACATTCATGAAGAACTTTGATTCTTCATTAAATTTTCTGTAAGTTTCGAGACAGTCACGGTGGAAGTTCTGATACAACATTAAACATCTTCTAACCCCCTCTCCCATCCTCTAGGCATATCCTCTGTGGGGGAACTGTCAGTTCAAGTTGTCAGAGGTGGAGGAGAAGGAGGGAGCGCTCACAGCCTTCGTCGTGCTGGTAGAGCAGCAAACTGATAAGGATGGTAATGTCTACCGCAATGTGGAGCTCCGGGTTTACGACATTGAAATCACTATGGAGACCGGAGTTGTCTGGGAAGTCAAGGTAGGACTGATGTTTTTGTATCGGCCAGGTGTGAGGGTGATCTCTGTCAGAACACACTGTCCCTTTTAACAGATAATATTTCCATTGTCCACAACATTTGTCTTAATGAGCTTGATCTCTTTTTGTCAGTGTACATAAATAGGTATTATTCTCACCACTGAGACAAAGCAGTGGGAGCTGACGAGTTACTTTTAGGGGGGTAATGTGCTCTGGTCTTCAGTACTGGACGTAGCAGCTCCTGAAATGAGACAGAGCTGATACGGCTTCAGCTCATCTGACAATAGTTTGTGTTTGTGTGTCTCTCTCTCCTCTGTGTCTCAGGTCGATGACGTCAGAGCCTCCTTACCTGCGATACTGGCTGACGGAAAAGTGCAAGTCCATCAAAATGGCATCAACATTATCATTGAAACTGACTTTGGTCTGAAGCTGACCTATGACACTGTGGCAGGCGTGGTCTTGCAAATCCCATCCACCTATCGCAGCTCACCACGTGGTCTCTGTGGCAACTACAATGGTGATGTGTCTGATGACCCGGCATCAGCCAATAAGAAGCCAGAGGATGTGGCAGCAGCTTGGGTCATTAAGACGGACAACAGCTCCTGTGAAACCGGCTGTGGAGCCAGTTCCTGCCCCGAGGAAAATGAACAGAATAAGCCCGAAGCCGAGAAGGCCTGTGACATCATCAAAGCCCAGAAGGGCCCATTTGCAAACTGTCACTCAACAGTGCCCCCAACTCCTGACTACGATGCCTGTGTCAGGCAAGGAAATACACATACATACATCATACATCTACAGTATATATATATGTATATATATATATATATATATATATATATATATATATATATATATATGTGTGTGTGTGTATAAAATTCCTGATAATATCAGATATGATACTTGTGGTTTAGCACAGTGGCATTCATGAATAGCATAATTGATTAACATTGCATAAATCCAAGGATGATCCCTGTGTACAAATGGCTGATTTGTCAGGAGCCTCCAGAAAAACACAACAGAGCATAAATGAAGATGATTTAATTATCATTTTCAATCAAATTTGCTGCTTAGATGAAAAGCA